ATGGGAACATTTTTAAAACTAAACTTTAAGTATACTAATCTATATTTTATAAGCTTCATGTTGGTATACTGACTACGGTTGACTAAACTAAAGAATGTGGATACTAAATTTTGTATGTTGCTGTATAATTAAGTAACAGTCCAAATAGTGACGTAGTTGTGAGAAGGGGAAAAGCAGCCTCATTTAGTGCTATCTCACATAAAGCAGTGTTATGTAATGAGCCAGGGTTTTTTACCAACCTCCTTTTATTGAAATGAAAGTGATAAATGTTTCATATACAAATATATAATACAATATACAGGGTAAGATGGGTAAATTGTCACCATTTTACATTTTTAATTTTGTACATGCACATTGTTTGTTTTTGATTTTGTTGGCTGCACAGTATAGTGAGGTCAGTTGGGCACCATCTGTAAGAAAAAGCTCACCATGACACAATTCACTTTGCCAGAAATTTGGATATGACATGCTGTAAGCTCAAGTACAGATATTTCAGTGTTTGGGTGTCAATTTCAGGATAGTGCAGAGGATTCAGAAAGAGTTGGATGAGTCTAATGGTGATTGCGAAGGTACAGTAACTCAGAAAACTCACACAAATAGTTTTGATAAAAGAACTCCCGAATTTGTTGGAGAGGGCCTTGGACTCCACATGGAGGCCTACATCAAGCACCTTGTGGAGGTAGTGCTGCTCTGTGTCAACAGAGTGGCTGCTGGAAGAGCTTATGTCTGGCAACAGGACTCTGGATCATGTCACACAAGCAAGAGAACCCAGTCATGGCTGTCAGACAATTTCTGTAACCACATCACCCTTTAAATCTGCTCCTTGATTATGTGTGGGGTACAGTTGAACAAGAGACCAACAAAACTTATATATATATATATATACACACACACACAATCACCTAATAGTTCATATTTATTTTTAATTTTGTTGCATAATATTTCAATTTGTACATAGTAATTTATTTTGTATATAACTTCAATTGAATAAAAGTATTTTTATGACGCATGTAGGCAAAATTAGTGTAAGTGTATAAATGTAATAGTTTTCTGATAATAAAGAATTTGAAATAATCTTACTTGAATAAGGAGTTAACAACCTTTTTATATGCATGTGTTCACTGCAAATGCACACTACACTTTGGTCAAAGATAGTATTGCTGTTCTATGAATAATACCATCATTTTTTTTTTTTTTACCATTTCATCCCAAGGCATTAAAGCCACTAAGACACAAGGGATTACTGAGAGTGAAGGAAACAACATTAAAGAGAAAAAACAAAAAGAAAAGGATTCAAGGAAAAGGAAGATGACAATTGATGTTGCATTTAAATTTCTGGAGATTGTAGTTGACAGGAAAGCAAGAAACTGGAGACGTCCAAAGGCTTGAAGTTACTTTTTGTTCCAAAATTGTTTGTTCTAATTATATCCCTTGTTTTGTGTTTAGAGTTGGGTTTCTAGTTCCTTCTAAAGTCTTCTCATTGTGATTTACCCCCACCACATTAATCACCTTATTTATTTAAGTATTTCTTTTATGAAAGTTTGTGATATAATAAATGAAAACAAAACCTGGACAAAATTAATAGAATACCATCACCACAACTCCTGCACTAATATAGCTTAACCAAAACCCAAAAATATTCAACTGTTTCAGAGAAATGAAAATTGCACCTTCTTGTATAGCAATGTCTTGTCTTTAATAACCAGTTGGTTTCATATCTCTGTATCCATACAACTCAAGATGCATGTGTGATCAAAAAGAATGTATACTGAATTCATTTCATGCAAAACTGTTGGTTTTGATACGTTAAAATTTGTATTGTTGACTGAGTGAATAAACATTGTCAGCTGAACTCCATTTTAAAATCAAACTTTTTTTATTGATGGATATCACAGTTTAAATCTTTTTCTTATATTCCCTTTAATGATACATTTTAAAACTATTTATTTATTCATTGTATTTTGTCCAAACTGACATGCTTGAATCTGTTGTTTTTATGCATTTTCTTAAAAAAGAACATTAAACTGAATCCATATTATGAAAGAAATCAACTGGATATATCTTTTAGTTCTTTAAACTTATCATACTCACGTTTTCTAAAAAAAAAAAAAAAAAATTAAACTTTTAAAAAAATGTCCTGTTTTCTTTTTAATGGTCATTCATTCACATTTACATTTGTGGCTAGCAATATTTTCTTTAATTCTTGGGAATTGATTTTCTTTTTAAAAAAAATGAAACTTCATACTAAAAAAAAAAAAATTAATTTAATTCAGAGGTAATTTTCAAAATGTAAGTTTTTCTTCTACTGTATTTTTTTTATGATTACATTTTTACTAATTTGAGGGATCGCATCCTATTAATGAGGTTAAAATGAAATTGTTACATTTTCTTAAAAAAAAAAATCGTTGCATTTTAGTTCAACTTTTGTAAACATGTCTTTTTGTAATTTTTTTTTCTTGAAGCCATTATGAAAAATATGCATAACATCTTTTTCAACTGGATATCTCTTCATTTTTTTTTTTCTTTTTTTATGCATTAGTACCAGAGACCCCCTAACAGTGTTTAATAAAATTTACATTTAATCTTTTGTTCAGTGGGTAATGAACTTCAATTCGTGAGAAACGGTATTCTAAGTTGGAGAAGCAGGCCAAAGAACATCTCAAATTCCTTACAATGTCTGATGATAAAGTTAATGACTGTGTGACAAAGGGAATAGACATTTCACTGATATAACTTTTTTTAATAGAGCTTCATCTTTACCAATTCATTTAAATCACTATCCAGTGCTATAATCAAAATTCTAGTTCAAACCAAAAGGCAGAATTTTTTTTTTTTTTTAATGGCCTTTGTTGAATGATATTGCACAAGTGGCATCAGCATTTGTCTTTAGATGGGACTTTGATATAATACTATTCTCAAGTGATGATAGGATACGGAGTGTTCCATTATTATATTGGCTATAACAGAGGGGCTTATAAAACAAATTCAGACTGCAAAATTACAAGAGGAAATGAAGGAAGACCATTCCAACTGTGTAGAAATAATTTTTCATCAATTCCAATAATTGTATTTTTATTCATTTTGGTGTTTTTAGTTTGAAGATAAATGAGTTTAAGCTTTTACAAGAAGCATTTGTTTGAAGGATTGACCGATGATTCATTTCAAGAAACAAATTTCTAAATTTTGTAGCCATTACTGTTTTTGATTAGTTTTTTTGACAAGTTAAAAATTACATAATTTCACAATTTTCTAAAAATGAGATGTATCTTTGACAAAAGCTTTTCATATTACAGAGAAGAGTTTTGTTGAATTCCTAGAAGTAACTGTAGGTTCGATGTTAACCATTTTTCTCGCACTTCTCACTTGTGGAAGTCTCTTTTAGTTTCTTGTTTTCCAGTCTTCAAAAATTTAAATGCAACATCAAACGTTATCTTCTGTCCGCTTAAATTCTGTTCTTTTATTGTTCTTGCTGCTTAATGTTTTTCCTATATTTTTTCACACTCAGAAACCACTGCATGTCAGTGTGGCTCTGTTGCCTTGCTTGGGGTGAAATGATTTTAAAAAAAAAAAAAAACGTAAAATTTCAAAAATTTAGGCACAGATACTTTTTTTTATGGCAAGTTTAGGATGGCATACTTTTGACCCGTTTTTGCCCTACTGTCAAATTGTACTTTTCACTGATTTTTATGTGAAATAAATGATTTTTTTTTTTTTTTTTTTTTTTTCAATTGATGTACTACTGGAAAAAGATTTAGCTTCATCTCTATTGTGCTATAAATCATAGCAAGAAATTGCATGGTATTAATTGTAACTTGTATAAACAATTAATATTGCCCTTCTATGTCATGCTTTAACTATTTTGAGAGAACAATCTTCCCGATGTTTAGATCTAATATTTATTGACTCCATTAATATTTTATTTCTTTTATTTCAAGACTCCCTATATGACATTATTTTATGTTTTTTAACTAGTCTGAAGTCCGCATCTTCACACTGTTAACATTGGCTTCTGGCCCAATAGCGCATCTGACAAAATTTGAATTGTCAGAATGTAATTTCTAATTTAGCTACCAAGATAAATTTGGTACCATTGTTTGTTTTATCAAGCTCTCTGTCTAATAAGGTTTTAGATATAATAAAATTAAGTTAAGGATACCCTATTAAAGGGTGAGTGTTTGACACTGTATAAATTCTGGTATAAAACACCATGAAAAATGTTGAACCTTATATATAGTGACATCAATTTTGAACATTACTTGGTGATTGAAGATGGTGATCAAAATGTAAAAAAAAAATATTTTAAAATAAATTAGGTATATATATATATATATATATATATATATATATATATATATATATATGCAATTTTTTTTATATTATATATGTGCAGTACTTATTGAAAAGTGCAATGATAGGGCTAACATATCAATCCAACTAAATATATATATATATATATATATATAATACTTTTAAGTAGGATGCATAAAGAGACTTATAGTAGTACTTCTACACTCTGCAACATGTTTATTTACAAAATGACAGTTGCTAACAAGACTTATCCCCTCCCTTACAACTTTCTGTATTTACTGTTTCATTCCAGAAACTGAGATTTTATGCAGATTTTTTTCTTTTTGCTATTATATAATTTACATCCTCAATTAAGATTACTTTTTTTGCCTTTTACATGTGAATACTGAGTGACCTAGAATGTGTATTTAAAATGACTTAAGTATTTTAAAAAAAAAAAAAAATTACATTAGGTGGTCAGTCACTACAAAGCAAAGTAGGATGTTTAGATACCAAATAACAAATCTTGATTGATTATTATTCTTACTATATCACTAATTTTGTCCCTTTTCTTTATTTACTTGGGCTAATACTTGTCATGTCTCAAATTTAAATTTTCCCAAGGACTTTGCTTATCTAATTAATCCGCTTAACTTACTACTGGGTTTTGAAAGTTTTTCTTTTGTGTAATTGTTTTATCTTTCTTATTGCAGCTATTGGAAACCTGTGTCAAAAATTGTGGTAAGAGATTTCACCTGCAGGTGGCCAACAAAGAATTCCTCCATGATTTGATTAAAATAATTGGGCCCAAAAATGATCCCCCTCCAGTTGTACAGGAGAAAGTGCTCAGCCTCATTCAGGTGAGTCTGAAAATCTCATTACCTCTCATCATTTACTCTACCTTTTGTTATTAAAATTTTCCTTTTTCTTTTTCTTTTTCTTTTTTTCTTTTTCTTTTTTTCTTTTATGTTTTCCTCATTTCATTTGATTAAAATGTTAATTTCAATACTTACACAAATTCTAAGTCTACAAAGTATCTGTAAAGAATTAGTCTCATTTGACACAATAGGTTATCAGTTATACATGATGTAAAGTGTCTAAGGCAATTTCTATTGATATTGTTCTTAAGTGTTTTCTGCTTACAACTTAATTAGAATTTGTTTCGGACAGCATTGTTTCGTGGTTTTTTTTTTTTCACTGCAGAAACCTGTCACTTACAAAGAGGGTTTGTATTGCATCCTATTTTCTAATATATCATTACAGTAAATTTCTATTTACTTTCAAAACTAGAAAAATATGAAGTAGTAGTCAATTGCTATTATCAATATAATTTTGTTTTTATAAGACAAATTGGCGGGGGAAGCAACTTGGTCCTCTACTAATTGTTTACTTACTTGTACAATATTTATCTCCTCTATTACCTCATATATATATATATATATATATATATATATATATGTGTATATATGATTCAATGTTTATTTAACATTGCACAAGGAGGAGCTAAACTTTCAAATGCATCTCTTCTGTATAGTTGAACAGAAGAAAGATCTTGCTGACATCTGACTTGTCGTGGACATTTCTGGCCATAATAAGCTGCAAGAAGATCAAAACTTTTCATTCTCTTGTGTGAATTATAGTAACAAATAGATAAGTATAATTAATCACCAGAAGATTTATTTGTAAAAAAAAAAAAAAATACTTTTACAATGTTGTAATTCACAAGCTGATCTAGTAATTCACTGTTAATATGGTTGCTAGCTTAACTTTATAAATATCTTTAAAGAAATTGCCAGAAAACAAAAAACCCAGACACCATTGTACTAATAGTTCTTTGTAATTGAATAGAAATAAAAATAGTAAATAAGCTAACTTACTTTATATTTGATTTATCACCTGTAGTTTTGTTTCATTTTATACACTGTTTAACTGATTTAACTCAAAAACATGCAAAACGGTGTATTTTGTTCCTGTTTGCTTTTCATGTAAATTTTGTCTTTTTATGAATGTTAAACCTCAAAACAATTCATAGTTCATTTTTATTTTGAAATCTGTATATTGTATATATTAAAATGAATATTTCACTGTTATAAAACTGTAAAATGCCATGGGAATATGATTATTCAATATTATCAAATTGAATGGACCCTCAAACAGTATTATTATTTTATTTTATGACTCATTAAAAAAAAAAAAAAACAACAAAAAAACTTGCATAGATATGTTTTGTGTATGAGTATTATGATTTTGTATATACTATTTGTGACATTTTTATCAATCTTTCTATAATACTGAAATCTCAAATTTCACAGCATTTTTTAAATACACATTTTCATCAGAATTATTCATTTAACATCCTGAGGTTAGTATTGGTATTTATTTTACTAATGTAATTTTTACAAATTTATTTTTGTTAATAAAATTTAGGAAAATATTTTAAGGTCATCTTAAATTGAACTGTTTTTTTTTTTCCCGTGTCTTGTATTTTTTCTACTTTTCATCATGTTTATATTGTTGGCCTTAAAGCAACAAATTGTTATAAGTGATAAATTTAGAACACATGGCTTTTCCTTTTGCTATTTTTTGTTCTTTACAAACTAATAGAAAAGGAAGATTTATCCAAAGTGATACATACACACACTGCTGTCAAATTTTAAACTGAAGTAAAAAAATTTTTAATTTCAAAATCTATTTCTAGTTTTTACTAATAAGACCTAAATTTTTTTCAGAGGCTAACCCAACTGTTTTAGTGTTTCTAGACACTGTTGCGAATTATGCCATTTAATTGTTGCATTTTTTTTATTGGAGGCTTCTATTGTAGATGACTTATACTGCTGTTTGTACAAAATAGAAAATTTCTTTTGTTTTTTGTTAAATTTACAAAATGCAAAGTAAAGAAGTTTGAATGAAGGAAGAACCATTAATGTTGAAAATATTTACAAACTTTCCTCTTTTTGAATTTGTTTTTCATTCAAATATTTACAACACAGTGAACATTTTTGATGGTTTGCCTGTTCATGTTAACCACTTTCGTTTCTCAAAATAAAATCTTTAACTTTTTAAACAGTTCATAGTTCTATTTTGTTATAATGTATTTTACTTTGAATAAGTGAAATGTGAGACATAAGAGACACATATATATATATATATATATATATATATATATATATATATATATATATATTTTACATAAAAAATATGTTGGATTAATAAATATCCATTACTTTCTTTAGAAAATTTGCTTTTGCTTACATTTGGATATAAAACTGCAGATATAAAAAAATTTGGAGATCTGTGATGAGAAGTTTTGCTGAAAGGTACAATTTCAGCATTGCCTAACCAGCTCGTTCTTTGTAGCTCAGTTGGTTAGAGCAGTAGCTCTCTCTGCCCAGAGCGATGCCAGTTTGAAAGCTGCCAGTGAGCATAAATTTTTCTTTAATAAGATTTCTTGAATATTCAGGCCAGTAGATGAAAATAAATAAATGCTTCATAAATAAACTGAACGTCTGCTCAAATACAAGTATCTACTAAAAATAATGTTTAAAGAGATAAAATATATAAAACGTGTGTTAACATTCTTACCATGAGTCAAACTCAAATCTCAGCATAGTCAATTTGTTAGAGAGGTGACTTGATAATATTGGCCTTAGGAGATGACTCCAGTGTGCAGCACCATTAGGATGTGCCTGGAAAACATACCACCTGCGTGACCAAAACTTTGTGGGTGAAATTGGTTATATGAAACTATGTGGGGGAGGAAATCTGGTTATGCTAGCATGACGTACCAAGTCCTCATGACTGACCATCTTAGTATACTGGCCCTTGTTCAGCTATTAATCATGGCAGATTGCATTCTCTCTATTTGTCTTTCTCTCTCAGAAACAGTAATTACAGTCAGCTCAGTATAGTTGCAGTATTAACCACAGGTGGGCTCTGTTGGCTTTAAAGAGTCAAATGTGCTTGAGTAGGTGGCTGTAACAGAGATTACCTAGCTACCTGGCAAATTTGGAAGTGAGTAGCCAGCTATTATTTACACACACACACACACACACACACACACTGTTTTGCTCAATATTTTGTTGGGCTATATGCTTCACTTTTAGCTGAAGTAAACTCCTTATTGCTGTTTTAGTCAGCCTACCAAAACAATGACTAGTGACTTGTGAAGCAGTTAATTTTTTCCTGTCTCATCTAAAAACAACTTTGTTTAGACTATATACCTTGCAATAACATTTTACCCACACCAATCAAAATTAATATTTTTTCTTTTTTTTTTTTTTAAACCCTGTACGCTGTGCTGATGTAGACTTGGGCTGATGCTTTTCATGGATCACCAGAACTGAAAGAAGTGGAAAAAGTGTACCAAGATCTAAAAGGCAAAGGAATCGAGTTTCCTATGACAGATTTGGACAAATTGGCACCAATACACACACCAGCCAGAGTAAGTAACAGTTTGGGCAGGGTCACAATTAGCAATCTTTTTATACTTGAAGCATAAATCAGTACTTTTTTTTCCTCTTTCCGCACAATTTAACAATTAGCATGTACTTTTATTCCAAATTTAGTCTAAATATATTGGAATATCTGTTAAACGCTAAAAATAAAGAAAAGACTTTAACATGTTTAAACAACATGTCAGTGGGTAGGTGGTGTTAATATTTTCAAATCATAATAGGACAAAAATGCCAAATGGTGTCATTAGGGAAAAATAATGGTAGGAAGAAAGTGTTACATCAAATCTTCCGAGATAGGAGAGGACCTTACTGCCTGGAAAATCGGCCATAAAAATCCTAGACTTTACCTGTGTTCAAACACTTGTTACCCATAAAAAATTAGTAACTATCAAAGTGCACTTCTAGTGTTTATTTAGTATTACTTTGAAAAACGATGACATTTTCTTTAAAGATTTTTTTTTTTTTTTTTAATGTCTGTTAGTATCGTCATCCTGTAAACTTTTGTTGTTTCTTTGTTCTTCCCTAAAAAAAAAAACACTTTGTGTCTGTTATTATCCATTCAATTTATATTTTGTCCAAATAGGACATCTTTGAGACAACTCTCTTCTCTTGCTGTTTGTGATGACTAAATATGTTATAAAAAAACAAAAAAAAAACTTGGTCAAACTATTCCCTTGAATGTGCTTATTAGCATTTTATTAGTTTTGACTAATTTTGATGTTTATTACATTTTGAGTTTATCTATTGGACTATTAAGAAAATACCTTTATGAAAAGCAGCAAAGAAGACACACTAATCAAGACTAATGATACAAATTCATGTTGGAATCTGAAAACAAATTTTATCAGTGAGTTTCATTTTTAAGAAAGGGAAATGAATCGAGGTTTATGGTCATCCTTCTATGTGCTGTTTCCCTTGTCGGCAGTTATAGTTTTACAAGGCCAAAACATCTATCTAATTGAAAACATACACATATATATATATATATATATATATATATATATATATACTAGCAGTATAACCCGTCTTTTACCGGATCTTTCATTACTTGGGATTTTTGACGTTCATTTGGAGCAGTTTACGTTTAAAGTCAGCCCACCCAAAAATCAATATTAGTAACAACATTTGGGTGCAACTGAGGCACATCCCCAAATAGGGGAGGGAGGGTTAACAATTTGAATGTGGGGTGGCCCTAAAAAGAATTTTATAATAATAAATAATATTATTGTAATAATTTAAACTATTTATTTTTATTAAAGCTTTTATGAAAGATATATATTCAAGAACAGATAGTAAAATGTTGCTGAGAGTTATAATGGACAGGAAGTAGTGCAGAGCCATTGTTGCCAAAAATTTAGACTCAAAACCGGCACTGAAAAATTATCTATCAAACAAAAAATTTCATCAAAATCAGATGAAAACTGTGGAAATGCATAAACAACATCTGATCACACACACACACACTTTGAGAATTATAAATATAGATAAATTTGAAAAATCAATAACATTTTTGCTCTTGTATATAAATGCTTGTTACAAAATGGAATCTTTGCTTTTGCCTTGATAAAGCTCACAGGTGACAAAAAACGTCACCTAAGGTAAGTTTACCTTTTATCTTTATTCATGTTATCTTATAGTATATCTGAAATAAATAAAAAAATATATATATATATATATATATATATATATATATATATATATATATATATAAAATTATTTATTTAAAATTATAACATAAATATGTTATAAAATCACTACAATCTACATTCAACATCATCACTTGATAAGACACCAGAGGTGTTGAGACAAAATGACTATTTTTGTAGTGATTTTATAACATATTTGTTATAATTTTTAAATAATTATATTTGCTCTACTCTGTATTGAGCACTCTTTTAAGAATAGTAATTGTTGGTTTTTGGAATTTATTCCGTATATACCAATCATATACTTGTTTGTTTTTATATATATATATATATATATATAGTGTAACCCGGGTATAAAAGAGTTGTTGGGACCGGAGAAGAAGTCTCTTATATCCGGGTTTGGTCTATTATATATACATTAACACATGCTCTAATTTGGGACCAGAGAAAATCTCTTATATCGAGTTTCACACACACACACACATATATATATATATATATATATATATATGGGGGTAAAAAAATATATCAGACAAAACGTGTCACACAAAACCTTTTTTCCACTTTGCCATACATTGCTTTCTCCAAATATTGTTCTTAATATATAAAAATTTATAAATTGCTATCTTGTGTGTGTGTATATATATATATATATATATATATATATCTATCTATCTATCAATAGTACCTTTCATTAAAATATCTTGAAAGAAATCCCATTACATTAAAAGAATAAAAAGATAAAACCTTGAAACATTTCATAGTGAACAATTTTTGTTTAAACTGAATTCAACATTGCAAGAAAAATGTTTTTTTTTGTTTTTTTTTTTATATAAATCTAGACTGGATTAGTTTTAACAAGTTGAATAAACTGAAAAGCAAGAAATGTTATCAACTTTAATGTATCAACACCCAGCCACCATTTATTATGAAATTGTAAGTGTGGGAAACCTCGGTTTTGTTATTATGACTCCTTTTTTTAGTTCTTGACTTTTACCAAAAATGCACTTCTAGGGTATTTTTTACCTGAAAAGAGATTAAATACAATAATAATATAACACTTCAATTCTCATACATGCAGAAATAGTTTTACATTGTTATTCTTGGGCATTCTTGTGTTCTTACATGTTTTTTTTTTTTTTGGTGGGGGGTCTCATGTAAAGTTCATTTCATTAGGAAATTCAGAGCCATATCTGAAACTGATAATTCCTTATTATTGAGTGAAGATGCTATCAACATATTTGTAATAATAGAAATGAACTTGTTTTATATGAAACTTGAGAAAATCTACAATTGGCCATGTATTTTAAAAGATGTCTTATAAATACTGAAATCTATTGTGTTCTCTGTTTTTGACTCTTGAATATTTAACATTATTTCTTTTGGTTTGTATGTAAAAAATATTAACTCTTAAATAACCATGAATTTATTTAGTTATTTTTATCTTTTTTTTAAGTTTATTTATTTTTTAAGAAAAAACATTTTCATTTTTTCTTTCTGAATGTTTTTCTTGAAATAAATGTCAAGCTTCATAAAACCATTCAGTATCTCCACATCCTTGTATAAGGGAGGTAAAATATAAATTTAAATTGCTAAAATTCCTTTCCGCCATTTGTTATTCAATTATTTTGAAATATCATGAACACGTAAGTTTTTCCAAATATATAATTGTAAAAGTAATTTAGAAATGCATGATGCCAGGCATCTAAAATAAAACAAAAGTTTCCGCAACACGTTATGAGTAACATTTAACTGAGAAAGGACATTATAAATATTTTAATTTCATTTCTTTGTACAAATTGGTGGTTAAATAACAGTAATTATTAACCATTACTTTTTCCTATCCTCTACTTTTATAAAATTTTCAGGAAAAGGCCTACAATGAAGCAGCAGTGCTATGGTAGGCAGGGCAACAGAAAATGAAGGAATCCTGTTTGTGATATTGAACTGGTCTTAGAAACTCAATCTAAGTGAATATTCAATGTAGGGAAACCTAAAATCTAACCAGCTGAGTTATGTATAACATTGGCTTCTTTTTTCTTGTTGTTTAATTTTAGATAAATTGATTTGCTGACAAGAAATTGTGAAATATTTTTGTGGGCACTTCACTAGATAAGTCTCAAAAATGATTTTTCCTTCTTTAAAAAATGCCTGATAAATACTTCTCAAATCAATATGGAACATTAATAGAACAGAAACAATCAATAAGAAGATGTATTTTACTTGATACAATGATGGAATTTTTAAAGGAAAAAGGAAAAAAAAAAAAATGGATTTTCATTTCACAATGAACACTTCCTCTGATTAACAAGTTTTATTTTTTATGCTAAAAGGATAATGCATAATATTTAAAAGGCCCACACATAGATACAAAGGATAAAGAAAGTGATTGTTCACTTACAGAAGATTAAACCAAAAATATCTTTTGCCATATAAAAGATGACTGTTGAAATTACTCTTTCATCCCTTTAAAGATATTCAGTAACAATCTCCTCTGAGACACAATCACACACACACACACTAAAAAATAAAATTATTTTTATTTATTTATTTATTTTTTTTTTTTTTTTTTTTTTAATCAATTTGCCCCAAGCAAGGTAAAAATGCTACTATGCTGCAAGGGGCTACTGGGAGTGAAAGAGAATGGAAAAGACTTTAGAAGGAACTGGAAACCCAAGTTTTCTCATTTACACTTATAGTGTTTAATATTTTTAAATTTATCTTTTTGAAACTAGTAACAGTCAAAATATAGAAAACTAAAACAGAAATGTTATATATAAATGGGTCTTACACATTTGACTTTTAGTTCCATAGTCATAGATTTTTTTTCTTGGGGTTTTTTTTTTTTTTTTTTCATCCATTCTTGATTCTTGAGTGCCTAAGATCTGACATACATTTTACAAGATGCAATCTGAATTCTGATGAATAGAGCATGCAGCATAATCAAGCCAGAAATATGACAAGGACAGTATGGTTTTGTTAACCTTTTGCCCTCTGCATAATTAATATTACTTACCCTGAAAAACAATAGTGGAAAAGTGTCTCAATTGCAGTATTCTCATTGAGAATTTCACTCAAAGTTGTTTTATATTGTCATAGCTGGATATGACAGCACGACTATGAAATTCAAACTCACTATTGTTCAGGGATCAGTCACCTTCAGTAGCAGGATAAACTTTTTGTACAGCAAATGAAGTCGCGTATACAGCATGATAAAGGTTAAAGACACTAGACAAAGAAAAGCAATATGATATCAGAAAGCAGAATACAAATGGAAAATGATGCATAGCTATGTTTTATAGATTATGCAAAAGCGTTTGATAAAGTATGGCACAAAGAAC